GTTGTTTTGATCACCTGTCTCCAGAGACCAGTATTTTTTATTAATTTTATGCAGCTTCCAAGAGTAACAACGGTTGCTATATTTTTTATGCCTAGAGGATAACATGCTTGATGTATCAACACACACACACACACACACACTTCTGTGGACTTAAATTCATTCACAAAGAGTTCATATTAATGAGAATATTACCATATTTACATGGACTCATGTCCATGACACCAGATGGAAGATGTCTTCTTGTGCTGAAACAACTATTTTCAGGATTTTCTGTGCTGTTAGCAAGCACGGATGTTTTGACGGTAAAACGACGACTCTTCATGCCAAAGTTCTTAATTTCCTCCTTGTATTCCAGTTTCCAGCTTCTGAAAAACACATGATAATAAATACACAATTTGACTTCGAAAACTATCTGAAAAACTAAATACATGGTCTTCCATGAAACCTTACAATTACCCATCAAGTTTCTCTTCCTATGATGCACAATATCGTCAACTTGAGAATGATAGTTTACAGTACCTACTGCAAATTATTTTGTTGGTTTTGTTTTTTAATTTCGCGCAAAGCTACACGAGGGCTATCTGCGCTAACCATCCCTAATTTAGCAGTGTAAGACTAGAGGGAAGGCAGCTAGTCATCACCACCCACCGCCAACTCTTGGGCTACTCTATTACCAATGAATAGTGGGATTGACCATTACATTATAATGCCCCCATGGCTGAAAGGGCGAGCATGTTTGGTGGGACGGGGAATCGAACCTGCGAACCGCAGATTGCGAGTCAAGCTCCCTAACCACTTGGTCATGCCGGCCCGAATTATTTTATGTGCATATTTTTAAGATGGGATCAAAATAAAATGTAAGTTCAATTAAGAAAGATACAACTCCCTTCATAATACAAAAGTTGCATATGAAGCACCTTATTGGGAGAGAATATCAAATTTACTTTTCAAAGAAGGGTGAGATGCAAGAACTACAATAACTGAATATAAAATTATTAAATTACAGTAAACTAAGTTCTAGTTTCTGATAGGAGACAATATCTCACATTTATCTACGACACTTAAAATAAGGTTGTGGTGATTGGCTATCTATCACTGTAAATGTTAGTAGCCTATCGCCAAAGTCCAATTAGTTTTTATTCTACATTTTGGCTTCTAATTTGCGACACCTTCAAGGGGAGTCCCACGAAGGACTATTTATGTGGTGGCAGTGAATCCTAGGTCTACCTCATACAGAAGACCCAGGACTAAATATCCTTGCCACTACCACCACAGAAATAGTACTTCTTGGGACTTTCCTGAAAACAGAAGCAGCTCAACAGACGATAAATAGGATAAAAACTAGTTAGTAATTAGTATTTAAACAATAATGATACATAATTAGACTTAGGTGGCCATATAAGGCTACTAACTATAATTCTCCAGCAATGTTTCCAAGCTTTCCCAAATAAAAACAAATACATATGAATTTATAGTACATGTTGATTGTACCTAGTTGTGTATCTGTATACATATACAAACCTGTGATAGTATATCACTGATGAGCTTGTATCTTTTCAAATGTAACATGCAAACATGGCTAAGTTCTGTGGTTAATTTAGCAGAAAAATAAATTCATTTTAAAATAACAAACTAGAGGGGATAATTTGCAATATAGCAGTAGTTAAGGAAACAATGCAATCACTTAAACACCTTACTTGGCATATATATAAAAAAAAGGTTAAAGTTAGCTATTACACTATTGAAATAGTCTTTTACTGAAGAAACTGCGTGTTTCTAACCTGCACAAATCTGGCTGGAATATAGTAATTGTGTCTTGACCTTCTTTCAGTGGAGGATTAAGTTCACCATCTGGAACAGAGAGAGAGAGAAACGATAATAAAACTACTTTAACATACACAGTACGATAGTCGATAGTGAAGAATTATTAAAGATATACAACCTAATAAGAATAAGACTGAAAACAAACAACTTCTGTGCTGTACAACTTTCCTAACTTGTAGAGGAAACAAAGGTGTTTTCTCTCAAAAAACAAATAACGCAGAATAAGATTGCTTTTAATGGCTAAATTTACTTCCAGACAAAATCATTTTAAACCTTTCAGTGCTGAATAAAAATTTAATTCTGATGTCACAGTGCTGAATATTTTAATATACTTTCCACAAGGACAAAAAAACCATCACCTTATGTATTTGAAAAGCAATTACAGAAAAACTACACAGAATAAACTTTTCACAGAATCAGAATCATTTATGTTGACAAATGTTAACAACTGCACTGTGTTGACTTTAATCGCCATTAATGCCAAATGGTTTAACTACCCTCCTTTCAGACCTGGTGACAATATAATTGACACTTCTGAATTAGCAATCATAAGAATTTATAGCTCGTAAATGGCATTATTTAAAACTGACTATATATATATTGCACAATAAACATTGATAATTTTTTAATCTAACTTAGATTTTTTGGTAAATTTATAGTTTATAGTGAAATAAAAATCATTAATGTTACCCAGTCCTACCATGCTGTTACACATAGTAGCCTGTCACCACAGACCAGAAAGCCAGGTTTCACAAAAACTCATTAGTAATGTACTATCATCAGCCTAATGACATCAAGAACTAGCTCACTTTGTTGGAAGAAATGTAACAAACTATCATCTAAAGTGTTAAAACTAATATTCATTTGTAGAAATTATGTACAGTTGTTTCAAAGAAATCTCCAATAAACTCAAAGCTCACTGTGGAATAAAGAACACTGTAACATCCCTAACTGCCTTGTCTCAAAATGACTACTGCAGGAGTTCTTGTAAACCCAAATTAAAGAGACAAAGTAACTTGTTTCAAGGTAAAAATATAAACATATCAAAGAAGCCTAAAAATTATCATCTTCATATGCTTAAGTTATTGAAAGGCACGTGAACAAGAAAGGCTCCACACAAGGACTAAATGGAGATCAATGGCAAATACGCAATAACAAATAAAATAGCTACATTTCAAGTGACATACATTTATGGTTTTATTAGCTACAGATACTTGGAAGCCATAAAATCAAAAATGAAGCAGGTCAAAGTTTGTTTCTGACGCCACCAATTTAAAAACAAATTATCATTTTTAAACTGTATGAGCTACAAATGATTTAATTTGTCCTCATAAAAACCATGAGATGTCAGATTGAAAGGAAAAAAAGAAAAATGAAAACTGAGTTCATAATGGTCAAACAATAAACTAACATCTTTTAACAATTTGAAAAATATTAGACGCAAGTTTAAGAGTTTTAAAAATGAAAGACATTTTGCGTATTCCATATCATCCAACTGCATCAAATTTAATGGATATTCCTGAAGCTTATGGCTACCTCTGATGGATGGTTTTTCCTTCAACTGTACTAGGCTTATTATACTAAATTTCTGCTATTGACTAAGCTCGTATCATAAGTCGGCAACTGTTGGAGCTTCTTTAACCATTATTAAATGAAATATAAGAATTAGAGAAAACCGATAAAATCATACAAAGTAAACTTGATAAGAATTCTATCTTTGAACTCTACCACTAGTGGCTATTTTTTGAAAACTCTAACAATCCATCTTGTGTTGTACTTTTCATACAAAATTATACTGCCTTTGAATAAAATCTTTCAAGATTTCATTAGTTGTGCACCAAATTATTGAAAGTAATTCAAAATTGAGAGTGGTGGGATGTAGCTTGATCCAAGCGTTGTCAGTACGAGTATACAGACTGGTGGAATGTAGCTTGATCCAAGCATTGTCCGTATAAGTATACAGACTGGTGGAATGTAGCTTGATCCAAGCATTGTCAGTATAAGTATACAGAGTGGTGGAATGTAGCTTGATCCAAGCATTGTCAGTATAAGTATACAGAGTGGTGGAATGTAGCTTGATCCAAGCATTGTCAGTACGATTATACAGAGTGATGGGATGTAGCTTGATCCAAGCATTGTCAGTACGATTATAC